TTGCCTTGTAGGCCAAGTATGACTGATGCCTATAATTCCAGCTACTTGGAAGATAGAGATTGGAGGATTGTGTTTGAGGCCAGTTTGGGCAAAAAAATGAATGAGATCATCCTTCACTCCATCTGGCATAGTAGTGCATGTGTGTAATTCCAGCTACTAAGGTGTAGATGGGAGAATAACCATCTGAGGCCAGCCCAGGTAGAAAGCAAGTGACCCTATCTGAAAAGTAAAAGCAAAAATTGGCTTGGGTGAGTATGTGACTCAAATAGGCCCTATGATCAAACCCTAGAAATGCCCCCCCCCCTCCAAAAAAAAAAGACCTTTTCTTTTTGTTAGTCATGGGGCTTGAACTTGGGTTGAGTGCTGTCCCTGCGCTCTTCAGCTCAAGGCTAGCACTGTTCTGCTTGAGCCACAGCACCACTTCCAGTTTTCTAGTGGTTTATTGGAGATAAGAGTATCACTGACTTTCCTGCCCAGGCTGACTTTGAATCGAGATCCTCAGATCTCAGCCCTCTAAGTAGCTAGGATTACAGGCATGAGCCACTGACTCCCAGCTAAAGAAGACTTTCTTTATATTTGCATATATAGAAGTATGTCTTTATCCTTGTTTGTCTTTTTAAGTTTGATCTTTGTGAGATTTAGGGAATTGGGTGTGTTTGTGTGTGTATGGAATTGAGTTAAGTGTGTGTTGGGGAGAGTGTTCAGGGATCGCAGGGTTTTGTGCATGCTAAACAAATGCTCTACTATTGAGCTATATCTCCAGTCTTTAGAATATTTTTAACTATTTATTTATGGTGGGTTGTGGGGCTTGATCTCTGGGCCTGGGGATGCTGTCCCTGAACACTTTAGCTCAAGGTGAATGCTCTACCACTTGCCCCAGCGCCACTTCTGGTTTTCTGGTGGTTAATTGAAGATAAGAATCTCATGGAGTTTCCTGCTGGGGCTGGCTTTGAACCATGGTCTTCAGATATCGGCCTTGTGAGTAGGATTACAGGCATGAGCCACGAGCTCTCAGCTTTAGAACATTCTTGTACAGAAATTCTTTAATGTCACAGAGCTGGGATGGAATAAAACTTAGAAGATTGGAAAAAAAATCTTATTCCTCCACTGTTTTAATCTTTATTTTATAGAAGAGAAGAGAATGTACCTTAGGAACACTTAAAATTTTCCTGATCACATAGTAGAGTTGAAAACAAAATTCAGCTGTTCTGAATTCAGAACTCTTCCTGTTACCTACTTCTAGTGTCTGGAAGTCCAAGTACACAGACTAGCAGAAAAATGTAAAAAAGTTGATAGGGCTCCACTAGTGATCTCCAAATAGCCCTTGGCAGATCAACTTAGAAGGATTTAGCTCACAGCGTGTGACCTGAGGGAAGGAACACGAGGCAAAGGAAGCTTCTTCACCTCAACTGGGAAGCACAAAGAGGAAGAGGAGGGGCTAGGATCTAAATATACTGGTCAAGTACGCATCCCTGTTGAGGCCCCACCTCTTAAAAATTGGAACACTTTTCCACATAAGCATGGTTCTTTGGGGAACATGCAATATCCAAACTATAGCACTGACTTGTTCAAGTGTGTAGAAAAGTATATGTGATTGAATTTATGCTCCCAGAAAAAGTAATGTACTGGAAACTGAATCTTTGGTCTACTGCAATACTTGCCTAAACTGGATTTAAGTTTTGTTGTGTGGATGAGAAAAAGCATTACCATATTAACTATTTATTGGCAAATTTGTAAACAAGTTTTTTTTTTTTTTTGTCAGATATGGGATTTGAACTTAGAGCCCGGGCACTTTCCCTAGGCTTTTTTGCTGAAGGCTTTTGCTGAAGGATAGCACTCAACCATTTTGAACCACAGTTCCACTTCCAGTCTCATGGACTTTCCTGCCCAGGCTGGCTTTGAACCATGATCTCAGATCTCAGCCTCCTGAGTAACTAGAATTACGGGCATGAGGCATCAGCACCTGGCAAACAAGTTAACTTTTAAATTATTAAATAATTGTACAAAAGGGTTACAATTATTTAAGCAAGTTAGTTGATATGCTAAAAAGTATTCTGAGCCGGGCGCCAGTGGCTCACGCCTGTAATCCTAGCTACTTAGGAAGCTGAGATCTGAGGATCACAGTTCAAAGCCAGCCCGGGCAGGAAAGTCCGTGTGACTCTTATCTCCAATAAACCACTAGAAAACCGGAAGTGACACTGTGGCTCAAGTGGTAGAGCGCTCGCCTTGAGCTGAAGAGTGCAGGGACAGCCCAAGCCCAGAGTTCAAGCCCCAGGACCGACCAAAAAAAAAAGTATTCTGAAGGACTTTATTAGTAGATACTACTAATGCTTATAATTAAAAATAGCTATTTAAGCACGTGGAAGTACATACTCTGGTAGTCACACATTTCTCAGATGTAGATCCCTTATGTATCTCTGATAGTAAGTGCTACATGATTATGTCTCAGTTTCGTTTTTTTTTTTTTTTCTTTTTCTTTTTTGCCAGTCCTGGCGCTTGAACTCCAGACCTGGGCACTGTCGCTGAGCTGCTTTTTTTGCTCAAGGCTAGCACTGTACCACTTGAGCCAGAGAGCCACTTCCCTCCTTCTCTATGTGGTACTGAGGAATTGAACCCAGGGCTTCATGCATGCAAGGCAAGCACTCTACCACTAAGCCACGTTCCCAGCCCCTTGGTTTTTTTTTTTCCATAAAGAATATTCTTTGCCAGGAGCTGGTAGTTCACACCTATAATCCTAGCTATTTTGGAGGCTGAGATCTGAGGATTCAGTCCAGAACCAGCCCACGTAGGAAAGTCTGTGAGACTTTCTCTTTATTTTCTTTTGTTGGTTGTGAGGCTTGAACTTAGTGCCAAGGTGCTGTCCCTGGGCTCTTTTGCTCAAGGCCAGTGCTCTACCACTTTGAGCCACAGTTGCACTTACGGTTTTTGACTGGTTAATTGCTTTGAATCCTAGTTACTAGTATTACAGGTGTGAGCCACCAGCACCTAGTTTGTGAGACTCTTACCTCCAATTAACTACCCGAAAAACCAACAGTAGAACTGTGGCTCAAAGTGGTACAGTGCTAGCCTTGAGCAAAAGAGCTCTGAAACAGTGCCTAGGCCCTGAGTTTAAGCCCCAGGATATCCTCATATGTAAGATTTAAGGTTCTCATTTTTCTTTTAGCATTTTTGAGTGGTCCTGTATAATCTGGACTCCATTGTTTCTAGTATGAAGTTAGTTACCTGTCATTTGTGTTCTTTTTTTTTTAATTGTGAAAACACTGTAGAGAGGGGTTCTAATTACATGGGCAAGGTAATGAGTACATTTCTTATCAAGCATTGTTGCCTCCTCCTTTGTTTCCCCTTCCCTTCCCATCCCCCCCCCCTCCATGCTCTTTTACTCTGGTTGCATTCAGAAGTTATTTGATCTATTCCTATTTTGGGGTTTTATTATGATGTCTATAAGTAAAGGATTTTTTTTTTAATGCCAGGGCTTCATTGAGCTTGAATTTATAAACTTGGCTCTTAACAAATTTGAGGTAAATTACTGGCTATTTTTCTTTGGAATTTTCTGCCTTATCCTTTTTCCTTGTACTCCTGTTATGTATGGTACTTTCTTTTCTTTTTTTTGGGGGGGGGTCCGGTTGTGGGGCCTGGGCGCTGTCCCTCAGCTCTTCAGCTCAAGGCTAGCACTCTACCACTTGAGCCACAGCGCCACTTCCGGCTTTTTTCTTTTTGCTTATGTGGTGCTGAGGAATCGAACCCAGGGCCTCATGCATGCAAGGCAAGCGCTCTACCATTGAGCCACCTTCCCAGCCCTCCCAAAAATAAAATTTTTGTTCAAGGCTAACACTCTACTACTTGCCCCACCTCCAACTCCAGGTTTTTCATTCTTTTTTTTTTTTTTTTGCCAGTCCTGGGTCTTGAATTCAGGGCGTGGACACTGACCCTGAGCTTCTTTGCTCAAGATTAGAGCTATACTACTTGAGCCCCAGTGCCACTTCTGGCCGTTTCTGTTTATGTGGTACTGAGGAATCGAACCCAGGGCTTCATGCATGCAAGGCAAGCACTCTACCACTAAGCCAGCTTCCCAGCCAGCTTCTTCATTCTTAATTGAAAATAAATGTCTCACAGACTTTCCTGCCTGGGGTTAGCTTCAAACCACGATCATAAGATCTCAATCTCTCCTGATAGTTAAAATTACAGATGTCCCCTACGGTACCTGGGTTTTACTAGCATTCTTATTTCAGAAAGTAAAGGCCACCTGCCTGAACCCATTGTCATGTAAGAGATAAAGAGTGACTCACACTGTTAGGAATGGAAAGAACCAGAACTATGTTTTTGTTTGGTTTAGGAAAAACCTGGGAAAAGACTTGTTTTTGAGAAAAACTTCACTCTGAATACTGTAACTGCTGTCACTATAATGTTGCATTTGTTTACAAGTGGATTGTTACTTTATTGCTATTAGATATCTATATAAGGTTTACAAGTAATAAAATGCTGAGAAATTTTGAAAAAAACTCAAAGGAATAAGTTACATGAAACTGCTTTTTAATAGGAAATACAACATTAAAGATTTAGTTTAGTGTTTGAACTTGCTTTTCTATTCACAAATGTGTAGGTTTTTACACCAGGTGTTATACAAGTTTTAATTTATATTGCTCTTGTGTACTTTTAATTTGTATACTTTATTCTCCATTTTTGTAGAGAAATCTGTTCCTGCCTAACTCGGATCTTGCTAATAATAATAGCAATATAATACAGTATTCTTGATTTGAAATTTTCTAGGGCTGGGAAGGTGGCTCAGTGGTAGAGCGCTTGCCTTGCATGCATGAGGCCCTGGGTTCGATTCCTCAGCACCACATAAGCAAAAAGCCGGAAGTGGCGCTGTGGCTCAAGTGGTAGAGTGCTAGCCTTGAGCTGAAGAGCTGAAGGACAGCACCCAGGCCCAGAGTTCAGGCCCCATGACCGGAATTAAAAAAAAAAAAACCTTTCTAATTTTTGTTTTTGTTACTCAACAGGTTTGATCTGTGGATGAAATGAATCATGATTTTCAAGCTCTTGCATTAGAATCTCGGGGAATGGGAGAGGTAAATATTTGCCAGTACTAAAAACTTATACCTCACTTATTTTGACCCTCTCAAGCTTAGTTTTAACTCATAAATCCTTTTGAAAATAGTGGTTATATCTTTCAATCATATAGATTATTTTAAAGGCTCAAATTATGCAAGTATAGTGATTTTTGGCTGTTTTTTTTTAACACTGTTAAGTTTTAGTGTTTTGTTTGTATCTAGGTGATTTCTCTTGGCTTGATAATATCTTCTGATTTGATGTTGAGCCATATATAATTAGCTTTTTCCATAAGATAATCCTTAGTCTTGTTCTACCATTTGATGTATGTATGCCATACTTGTTTGTTCACTAGTCTCTCTCAGACCTCTATTGTTTACCCAAAGTTATTTGCTTCATTAACTTCTAATCCTCTACAAAGCTTTATTGAAAAGACTATCATTGTCCCATTGTTATCTGCAATAGAATTGCTTTTTCGTCTGACTTCTCCTTTAGTTTCTTTATGCATACTTTTATATTACTTGCTACATTTTGTTTTGTATTTGTCTCACCCATGAGTCACTAGCTTTGAATGCATCACATAATAGAGACTACACATTATTAGTAAATTTTGCCATTCCTGTTAGTACATGGTTTTCTTTGGGACGTAAAATTTAATCTCACCATTACATATTTTAAGACACCTGAAATACTTAGCTTGCCATAACATTAATGAATTTTTAGAGACCTTGAATTATGAAAACTCTTGTGGTCATAACTTTATTTTGTCATGTTCCATACCTACACATAGGTATGTGAGAGGTGGACTTGGATAATAGAAAATAACAGTAAACGGACCTAAGATGAATAATTAATTGCTTGCTCCTGGAGATTATTTTACTTTGGTAGATTAGAGACCTTCGTGAGACTCACTCCATCCAATGCTGTGCTCTTCAGATGCAGAAAAAGAGTCCAGTCACTCCTTTGAGCCACAAGAGGGCACCTTGCAGCTAGCTAACCCTCCCCTTCTTCAGAACAGCGTTGTCCAAAGAGTTTGTCATTTTCAGAGGACTGATTTAAGGGTGAGTTAAGGTGCTTAAGATTAAAAGTATTGCCAAAATAAACTTCTAAGTCCAGTGTACAAGGTATAATTCTGGGCCCTAATAAAAGTTTGAGAGAAGGAATATAAATTATATTTTTAAAAACTGTGCCCTTACTGTAGGGCAGTGGCTGCTTAGGCATTGTTTACACTGTGGGAAACTAATCCCATAAAGGCAATTGAAAAGACTTATTTTTTCCCAGCCACTTGTTTTCTTTGGTCTTTAGATAGCAGAATAAGGTATCTTAAAATCAGAGCTAGAAGCCACATTTGGTGATTCCCATCTTTAAGCCTAGCACTCAAGAGGGTGAGGCAGAAGGATGGTGAGTTCTATTCCACCCTTGGCTACATAATAAGTTTCAGCTAGCCTTGGCTGTGTAGGGAGATGCTGTCACATCATGGGACATAGGGAGGAGGAAGAGCAGATTGAATTGTTTTTAGCATTCTAGTCTGTGACAGTCTTGAGTTTGTTTTGATCCCCCCTGTGGTAACAGGGATATGAACTCAGGGTGTCATTCTTGCTAGACAGTCACAATAAAGCTGAGCCAGACCGCCTATCCTGAACTTGATTCTTTTAATAGCAAGTAGAATCACAGTCCTACTAGACTTCCTGTTGTTCACTTATCAGATGTACATTGTGTGTTTATTTACAAATGTTCTTACTCTCTTTCTAAATAATATATGCTAAATCTAAAAATAGCTTTGTAGTTAAAAAAAATCATGGTCAGAAGCAGTGGTTGACTTAGTTATTTGGGGGTGGCAATGGTTGAGTTAGTTATTTGGGGATGGAAGAAGATTTTAGGAGAAGAGGAGATGGTTGATAAGTATATTAAATGAAATAAGATTAAATCCAGAATTTAACAGATGTTTCAGATGGCTTTCATCTAGTAAAAATGTATCTTTAAGCTGTTATACTAATTTTTTCATATTAATATTGTTACCTCTAACAGCTAAGAAACCTACTCAGATTTCTGTCTCTGGGTTCTCCCACAAGCCTTTCTATCTTTCCTCATCTCACAGGCATCAGGGAACCTTCTGGGATTTCCTTCTTTGCCTCTCTCTCTCTCACCAGTCTTCTCCTCCTTTCCTGACAGGTGAGGTGCTTTGTTTTTTTTAATCCCAGAATTCATTCACTGGAATAGATTAAAAGCAGCCTTGACTTTCTGGCTCTTGGGTTTTCTAGAAATGCTTAGCTTTGGTGGTTTTTTTTTTTTGTGGGTTTTTTTTTTAAGTTTATTTTTTACTTTTCCCCCTTCTGGAAAGTACAAAATCCTTTTGAAAGTAGATTGCCTTATTTTTTACTTTTAAAGATGAAAGACGTAAAATTTTGCTTATCATGTATTGAGTGTTATAAATCTAATGTAGGAATAAACACTGCATTTACATAAAAGACTCACTTAAAATGTATTTGTTTATAGATTATGATAGTTTAATGAGCCATCATCAGAAGGATAGTCTTTTGGTTGTTGGATAGTCTTTTGGTTGTTCACCCAAAAACAGGAACAGGCCGGGCACTGGTGGCTCACGCCTGTAATCCTAGCTACTCTGGAGGCTGAGATCCGAGGATTGCGGTTCAAAGCCAGACCGGGCAGGAGAGACCGTGAGTGAGACTCCTATCTCCAATAAACCACCAGAAAACCGGAAGTGGCACTGTAGCTCAAGTGGTAGAGTGCTCGTCTTGAGCTGAAGAGCTGAGGGACAGCACTCAGGCCCAGAGTTCAAGCCCCACGACCGACCAAAAAAAAAAAAAAACAGGAACAGATTTGTATCTACTTGTAAGTTTGCCCTTTCTTTTTTTTCCCCTAGTAATATTTTTTGTTAAAAGATCTACTGATTTTTATTATGCCATGTGGCTTACAAAGAGTAAAGCTAATTCATAACTTAATTAGCTTTGTTAATATGTTATTAGTGTTTGACCCAAGTATATTGCAGAGGCATGTGCCTATTTTCTAGGTTTTTAGGGTATATATAGCTGGGTTCTTATTTGCAAAATAACGAGAAAACCTGATCCTGCTTGAAATTTTTTCTCTTTTTATGTCCTAGGGCTTGAACTCAGGTCTGGCTCTGTCCCTGAGATCTTTGGCTAAAGGCTAACCCTACCACTTTGAACCACAGCACCACTTCTGGTTTTCTGGTAGTTAGAGGATAAGAGTGGCATGGACTTTTTTTCCTGGCTTGCTTTGAACTGTGATCCTCTGTAGCTAGGATTATGGGCAAGAGCCAGGCCTGCTTGAAACTTTTTAGGGAACCCCCAAATTAACTTTAAATCAGTAAGTTAATGTTTTTAGAATAGTTTTAATAGCTTAGTACGATAAATAATCACTTTCTAGGACAAAAGTATTAAAAAGAAAACAGTAACAAAATTTATGTCCCAAGATTCTAGATATTGTGAAGTGAAAATATTGTTGTTTGGTTTTTTTTTTTTTTTTGCTTAGTGTTATAACCTTGAATACTAATTTCTCAATGTTATAACCTTGAATAAGACTAAAACTGACATGTTGTATGGTTCACATAAAATCTTACAAATGCTCTTTAATCTCAGCTGTTAGGGAGAGCTAGAATGGAAATCAGCTGTTTCAGACAGTGTTTTAGTAGCTGACTATCTACCTTGACAAAATTCTATCTTAAAGTTTACTATAATGAGAATATCATAGTACTATGTTCAGCTATTTCTAATTTTTCATTTTACCAACTAGTGGTCTAATATTGGTAATTTTTAAACATACTGGTCAATTATACTGAAAAGAACTTTTCTGTGGTAGTTAAATGTAAAAAAAACAAAGCCCTTCAGATACAGGTTTAAATCCCAGTCATAACACCTGATGTATGTGTGATTTTGGGCAGTTTAATCTCTGCTTCTTGTTTCTTTATATAGAATGTGACTATATTAAGCAACTATCCTTCCTAAGTAATAGGGTTTCATCATCTCCTGATAATACTCAAACTGACTCAAGGCAAAAAAGAAGACAAATAGCTATAGACAAATCCTGGTAACAAATGATATGATTCTTTTGAAATAATTAGCCAGTTAAAAATGTTGCCAAACAGTTTTGTTAATTTGTATTTTATAATGTTAAACCATGTATTCTTTGAAGTATAGAAGGCTCCCAATACTTACTTATAAGTACTAGATGATGTATTGAGCAGTATACTTAATGTCTTTTCATTCTAGTCTTATGGCAAGATTTTTACCTTTGTACATGAGCAAGTAGGATCAGAGTTTATAACTTGTCAGAGGCCACATAGAAATAACTTGAAGTTTGAACTCATGAGTGTCTTGACTGTTTATGATACTACTTCCCATTGGAAGTGACTATATTTAATGTTTACTGGCTGATACTAAAGGATATTCGCAATGGAGAAGATGTGGGGAGATGGTTATATATAACAAATTCATAAATATTCCTTTCATTTACAGAGAAGTGTCTAGGATATCATCTTTCTTGGTTTCTAGGGAACTGTCTTGTGTTTTTGCTTTCTACACATTTTTGTGTGTGTGTTAGTGCTAGGGCTTAAACTCAGAGCCTCTTGGTTTTATTGCTCATAGATGGTACTCTTGTCACTTGAGCCATACCTCAGTCCAGTTTTTTGTTGATTTATTATGCTTAGGGACAAGTCTTGACGTTTCTGCCCATGTTGGTTTTGAACCGTGACCTTCCAGGTCTCTGCCTCACCAGTAGCTGGAATTGCAGGCATTTACTACCAGTTTAATTTTTGCTTATTTTTTGCCTTTTTCCCCCTTGTTTGTAAGTAACCCAACATCCTCGCTTGCCCAGTATAGTCTCAGTTATACATCTGTCATGGCATAATTAGTTAGATGCCAGGCACCTGTGGCTCACACCTGTATTCCTAGGTACTCAGGAGGCTGAAGTCTGAGGATTGCAACTCAAATCCAGCCCGGGCAGGAAAGTCTGTGAGACTTTTCTCCAGTTAATCACCAGC